CTTGCTTTATATGGCAGAATTCTATACTGAAAACTCAAATTAAGTTTTTAAGTTATTTGTAATCTCCATGTCTAGCACCATGGAAAATAAATTTTAGACATATTATCTGATCTAAGGAATACCAGCTAGATCAAATTAACCACATACCTTGGATTTTTTAATCTTCAGAATTGTTTATGATTTTTTTCAGAATGGAAATTCAGTACATTGGAAAGAATCTCTATTCTTTCTTTCTAAGCTGTGCTGAAACAATACAAAAAATACCAGGCCTTTTCTGTTGTAAATTCTTAAATCAAAGACAATTCCACAGCATCTTGTGTTTGCATAGTTGTTATTTTAAAATTTTTTCTTAGAAATGCTTTCTCTAATAAGACCAAATCTCTTGCTGTGGAATGATCCCACGTAAATCTCCTAACATTAATGCATGTTCATTGTCTCTCTGATATCCATGTACTTACATCAAGTGAAGATGATGAGGAACAGACAGGGCTCTGAGGTCCAATTCAGCTTCATAGTAGAGGGTATCTATGGTGAAACCATTCTCAAGAGAGTCATTTACCTATCATGTAATCCTGTTCCTATGGGGTCTTTCTGGCCAATTGTATTTGCTTCTTTTGCCTTTGTGCTCCAGAGTCACTCTGCCTGCCTAACTATTTTCTCTTCAACTGGTTTTATGTACTGTAATTGCTGATTTTTTGACTTGCTATGATTAATATTGAAATATATGCCAGAAACATACAAATATTGAACAAATATAAAAAAGTGAGTGAATATAGTTTTTATAACTATTTTAGAAAGGAGACCATTGAAATAATTTGATCTCTGCTGGGATTTTAGATCCAGTTATTCTACAGACAGAAAGACTTTGAATGGACACTAAAATTTTATATAGTGAATACTACATTTCCGTTGACTTGCATTATTAATTCCAATAATATACATACCATATTTTCAATAGTTGTTTTTGAGGGGCTTCTTTCATTTTCATTTTGCTTTTCCCTATCTACTATTATATCAGCTGGTTTATAATTTTATACCATGTTTGTGGTAAAGTAGAATTACTATTTAAAGATTTCTGTGATTTGAATTATTCAATGTATGTGTCTTTTATTCAGTTTTCTTGAAAGAGGGAGTATCTGTAATAAACACTTTAATGACACTGCAACTTGGCAAATTATATTCTTCAATAAGCTAACTTAAAGCCAGAAACTATTCTTATTAATGCTTATGGTCTCTCTATCTGTCCTACTACCTGGCTTATAGTAGATGCTCAACATATATTGTGTCAGAATATGAAGAAGAATATGATGTGAGATTATGTCTTTGGCTTTATTACTTCTACTTTTATGGCCACAAAGTCTTGTGCTGGTGGTGCCTTGTGTGGTAAAGTGTGCCACTACTTTATCATTCTCTGTAAAGAATTGAGTGTGTGAAGTAGTGCGGGGCTATAAGACTACCAAAATCTGGAGCATTGGGTGGGCAATGAACTAAACTGTGGTAGAGTCTTTAGTGACTATAAGCTGATATGCAATGAACTTGGGGAAGTAATTCTTACAGATACTATTCCATAGCATTTCTATGTCTATAGATAGAAAACATTCCAGAAGTAGTTTATGAAATACATACTATACATTTAAAGAGAACTAGCCAATGGGGTTCGGAACCCCATGGGACTAATACCTAGAAAGGTGTTGAGTAGAATTTATGAAGGGCGAAAAGTGATATAGGCAAGAATTTTAGGTAATGAGTCAGTTTTTCTTGTTGGTTTTAGTGTAGAAGGTCTGTCCAGGAAGAGTCCAGTTATTGTTAATATAACAAAAACAGTTCGGGCAATATTGATGTAATCTGGCAGCCAAGGAGAAATGGACTGGAATGTGCTTATGTGAACAATGATGACTTCACTGTATTAGTCAGTGGGGGCTGTAGATACCACTGAGTGAACATGTGTACACATTCAAAATGATTGGATGAGTAGAGCAATGAATTTGCATCAACATTTGCATTAAGCTTGAACATTCCTCCACAGAAACTTTGCATAGTTCAGAAGGTCACAGCTATGGGCAACTGGTGATTGACAGCCTGATCACAACAATGTGCCCACTCATATATCACATCTTGTACAGAGTCGTTTAGTGAAACAAATCACCCAGGTCACCTAGCCACCCTACAACCCAGATTGGGTGGTCTGTGGCCTCTGGCTTTTCCCAAAACTAAAATCACCTTTGAAAGGAAAAAGATTTCAGACTATCAGTGAGATTCAGGAAAATATAATGGGGTAGCTGATGGTGACTGGGAGAACTGTGTGAGGTCCCAAGGTGCCTACTTTGAAGGGGACTGAGGTGTCATTGTCCTATGTACAATGTTTCTTGTATCTTGCATCTTCTTTAATAAATGTCTCTATTTTTCATATTACATGGATAGATACCTTCTGGACAGAACTTGTAGTTCTTAAAATAATAGGCAAAATATTCCTAAGAAATTTTTTTACTGTCTATAATACATTTAAAAAATTTTGCATTAAATTTTATATTCCCTATATATATGGATGTAAATGTGTAAAGCATAGGACAAATATCACACTTATAGAGATTTGCTATGGAGAAGTTAGAAAAACTGAACTCAAGGGAATATATCGAGGAGGACTTTGGCATTTTCTACAAAATGTTTTATTAATGACAGCATATTTATTATTTTTCATATAACTAAAATTTAAATTAAAAAGTTTTTTTTCTGATTAGTTTATGAAAAACAAAAGGAAAAGAAGGGGTGGGATTTCAGACCTAGAAACCTATAAGAAAACTCTGATTTAGTTTAAACGTTTTAGTGTCCTAGACTAAATCTAAGAGTAGAGATGAAGAAATATTTCCATATTAGAATGGAAACAAAATATGGTACAGATCAATTGGATGTAGAAGCAAAGGGTGAGTGAATATTATTTTTCCTCTTTGGAATCTGGGAATTTTTTAGAAATTATATAGTAGTGCTTAGTTCTGGGAAATATCTTATTCATGAAAAAATGACTTGAATTATTCTTAGTAAAATTGGGCCCAATGTGAACTGGACTAAGTTCTGGAGATTGAGATCACCAGCTCAAAAATTGCCTTTTGCCTATATATTTTTGGAAAGTCAGAGCCATGATTGTTATATAATAGAGATAGAAAACCTGACATCAGTTATAAGACAAATTTCTTACATTATGCATGCCAAACATTGAAATGAGTGACTTATCACTGAAATTATTCAGATGACCTATTTAATAGTGTATTATGTTCAGTTCAATTTGACAGCTATGATTGAGCATCTGTTTTGTTAAAAGTATTTTTTTTTTTAGGTATTGTAGTAGCACTAAAGAAAATAAAGTCATTTAGTTTTACATAAACATACATTTTGTTTTTTCTGTTTTTGTAATCGTTTTTCAGTTACACTTGTCTCCTTTTTTTCCCTGTTGCTCTCCCATGCCCTGCCAACCTCTGCTTCCAAAGGCAATCCCTACCCCATTGCCCTTGTCCATGGGTCCTTCATATATATTCCTTGACTTGACACTTTCTATCTTTCCCCCATTACTCCCCTCTTCCCTGCCTCTGCTCTCTATCAGTTTGTTCTTTATCTCCATGTCTCTAGTTCTGTTTTGCTTGTTTGTTTTGTTGATAGGTTCCACTTATGTGAGATCATATGGTATTTGTCTTTCCCTCCCTGGCTTATTTCACTTAGCATAATACTCTTCACTTCTATCCATGTTATCATAAAGGGTAAGAATTCCTTCTTTCTTTCTGCTGCGTAGCATTCTGTTGTGTAAATGTACTGCAGTTTTTTGATCCATTTATTTATTGATGGGCACTTAGGCTGTTTCTAGCACTTGGCTATTGTAAATAATGTTGTTATGAACATAAGGATGCATAGGTTCTTTTGAACTGTTGTTTCTGGATTTACTCCATTTTATGCTTCTGCCCTCTTTGTCAAATATTAATGGGCCATAGGGTATTTTTTTTAATTTAAGAAATTTAAAGGTTTATGGATATACTACTACTACCACTATTTATATAAAACATAGAGTCAAAAGCACATAAATGAAAAAATTGAGCAAGATCACTATAAAAGGCCAATTATGAGAAGAAAAGATCAGATATCAGTGAAGCAATCATAAAATTTAATGAAGAAGATATTTAAGGATGAGCTTTGACATATAAGTAGAATTTCAAGGTGGAGGAGTGCATGACAAGGTTGGAGTGAAGGCAACAGTGAAGCCTGCTGTTAGGAAGGCTGAATGATGGAGCAGTTAGCTGACTGGTTTTCTTTTCTTTCTTTCTTTTTTTTTTTTTTACAAGATTTTATTTATTTATCTTTAGAGGGGAAGGGAAGTACAGTGGGAGAGGAGTATCAATGCATGGTTGCCTCTTGTGCATTCTCTGCTGGGAACTGGCCTGCAACCCAGGCATGTGCCCTGACTGGGAATTGAGCTGTGATCCTTTGGTTCTCAGGCCCGAGCTCAATCCACTGAGCTATATCAGCCAGGTGCTGACTGGTTTTTTTAGACTGCAGAGTATGTAAACACAGAAAGAGGTAGATTAAAATTTAAAGGAAAGGTGAACCCAAATTTTTGAAGATTTTATCGTAGACAGGCAATCTTGTTTCATTTAGTTGTTGGGTGAGAAATAAATATGAAAGAGATGCTTATTCATTTGTTTATAAATTTTATTTGAGCTAGATATTTAGAAAGTTATTTAAAAGTGAGTGACAGTAGTTTGAGACAGAAACAGCAGAGATGGGAGATCAGTTAATCATTTATAGGAATAGGGTAACTGAGTAGTAGTGAGAATCTGAATCAGTACTTTGTATAGAATATATAAAATTGCCTCAGGTAGGATTAGCTACATTGTAGAGACATTTGAATTTAGATAATGTCTAGTTCCATCCAACTCTAAAATTGCATGGGTTTATAACTCCAAATTCTGACAAGTTTTCATTTTCTTTGAGATGAGTTTCAATGAGAACAATAATTGTTAAATATGACTTCTCTTGGAACATAAGAGTTTGATCATAGCTTTTTGAATCTGCTTTGTTTTCACGCTATAAATGATGGGATTCATCACAGGTGGAATGAGCAAGTATACATTAGCAATTAGTGTGGGCACATAGGGTGGAGCATGTTTTCCAAATCTGTGAACAAAAGATAGGCTGATCAAGGGGATGTAGAATATGGCTACAGCAGTGATATGAGAAATGCAGGTGCTGAAAGCCTTTTTTCTCTCCTCTGGGGATGCAATGTCGAGAACTGAGCGAATGATCAAGACATAGGAAAGCAGGATAAAGATAGAGTCTACCCCAGCAGTAGAGATTATTGCAGTTAATCCAAAAGCACTATTGATCTTTGTATCTGAACAGGAGAGCTTCATCACATCAGGGTGGAAGCAATAGGAGTGATGGAGCACGTGGCTGTGGCAGAATGATAGGCGCTTAAGAAGTAGGACTAGTGGTATCAGAATGATAGTACCTCTGGTAATGACTGCCACACCAATCTGAGCAATCCTTGCATGAGTTAGAATGGTAGCATACCTCAAGGGGTTAGAAATGGCCACAAACCGATCAAAGGCCATAGCCAGGAGCACTGAAGATTCCATGAATGTGAAGAGGTGAATGAAGAACATCTGTGATAAGCAGGCATTGAAGCTGATTTCCTGTTTATTGATCCAGAATATTCCCAGTACTGTTCCCATTGTAGATAGGCATAAGCCAATGTCAGTGGTGGACAACATGGAGAGGAAATAGTACATGGGCTCATGGAGGCTTTGCTCAGTGAGGACTATGAGAAGGATCAAGGTATTCCCAGAGAGGGCAGTTAAGTAGAGGCAGCAGAAGGGGATGGAGATCCAGGCATGGGCCCATTCAAGTCCAGGGACCCCAGTCAGGAAGAAGGTAGGGAATGTGGAATTATAGTAGGTTAACATTATGGTCTGAAGGAGCTGAATTGTCTTGCGAGATCTTGACTTTCTAAATTTAGAATTTTAAAATTATTTTTAGTTAAACATTTAGTTAAAAAAAACTTTGGCATACAGCTCAGCAAAGTTTGTTATCTGTATGCACTCATGTAACAACTTCCCCAATTAACTGATAAAACATTACCACCAGCCCGGGAGACCCTAATGCCTTATACTCATCAACGTCCTCTTCTACTATAAACATTCTTGTGATTTATGTTACCTTAATTACCTTTCTCTTTTCTTGATCTTGATATAAATAGAATCATGCAGTATGTATTATTAAATTTTTCTTCTTTCATTGAATAGTTATCTGTAGGATTCATTACTGAAATAAGACATTTAACTAAGTTCAACTTACTTAGCTAAATTTATTTGGTGTTTACCATTTACTATCTTGTACTCATCAATATTTTTGTTATATTTTTAGCTTTCAAGTGAATATATAAATTTATATTTATTAATATGTTCTCATGGGAATAAGGAGTTATTTTTGGCTAATTGCTTAATAGAATTTTTGCTTATAATAGATATTGAATATGTTTTTTCTAATGAATTTATATCTTATTTGCCATTTCTGAAAATTTCTATTTAACTAGGAGTAGGACTTTGTCTAAAAAATAATTGACTAATTTTACCCTGGATGGAAATTCAGAACTAGTAAACTCAGATTCTAAGTGAAAATTCATTTTAACAGTGGGCAACCACCTCTTTTCAGGAAATCCACTACAGATATCTTTACGATAATTTAGCATGTTTTGGAAACAAATAAAACCCTGGGACAGAATTAAAAGTACAGGGAGAGGCCTAGGTAAACATTTAATTAAATATAAAGGAAGCTTCTTAAACCAGAAGTAATAGAGTAAGTTATTGAATAAGTGAAATTGGGCAAACTGTATTTGAACAAAATAATAAAGCATATACCACAATATATATTTAAATTATTTCCTGATGGTTATTTACTTATAAATAAATCACATGTAATGTGAATTAAACTCAGGGAAATATACAATCCTTGAGCAAGAAAGAATTTTCTAATAATAACACAAAATATATAAACCATAGAAATAAAGATTAATATATTCAGTTTGACAAAATACAAAGAATTGTTCAATGGTTAAAAAGCCCTTTGTCAAAGGGATAGTTACAAACTGGGAGACACATTTGAAGCATATACAACATTCAGTTGAGTAATATGCTTACTCTGAAACAGTAAAGACAATATAAAAATGAGCAAAAGATGTAAAAATGGAATTCCCCAAAGAAAAGCTGCTAGTGATATAGGAAGAATACTTGATTTTACCATCTGCCAAAGGAATACTAATTAAAACAATTGTTTTTAATCAGTTATAAAGATTAGTAAGAATTGTTGGAGTAAAAGAAAACTTCACTCTTACATGGTGGAGAGAAATCAGGTAAAAGGTCCATTTGTCATTATTCATTCAAAAATTAGAGACTTCATTTCCTTTGAATTAACAACTTAATTCCTCAGAAATTACCAATAGTGATAACAACAGCCACTGTAGCCAGTGTGCATGTATATCAATAATTACTTTAATAATTTGGTACTAAGTGTTTATGCACTTAACCCTCAAAAAAACTTTTATTTTCAATGTCATAGATATTTATAGACAGATTAATATATATGATATTGTTCTAAATTCCTTAAATTTGACACTGGCCATATTCCTTATTATACTAAAAAAATCATGGAGCTATTGTTTACTGAGAGATAAATACCATCTATGTTTTTAATTTATTACTTTCTTTGACATTTTTGAATGTGTTAGAAAATTCAGAAAAGTCGTTTTTGAATTTTATTCTGCTATTTTGTTTCTTCATTTAATTCAAGAGTACTCTCAGGAATCTCTAAAAAAGTAGTAAGATTTCTACTCTGACACAAGTACAGCTTCACCAGCTCACCCAGGGTTTGTTCCTTAGCATCACTGTGTTGTCTAGAGTGGACAAAGAGTCAGGGTTCAGAAACTAGGAGGCTAGCATGTCCTTGGAATTAGGCAAGACCAGATAGTCTGGAATTGATCTCTGTTTTGTGACCTCCACCTTCCAGTTAACCTCACTCTACTAGACTCAATTTCTATCAGTAAGATACTAGGGTGGGTAATTGGACATAAGTTAGAATATGTACCTGAGGTTTTACAAAAAGAAGGCACATAGTTTTATTCTCATTTAGTTTCTAGGATGCATGAATAATCCAGAAAAGGGTAAAACACCTTTGATCTTTTAGAAATAAGAATATGAAGTCTGGTTTTCTAGATTACTAGACATCTCTCATATATGCTAACTGAAATAAGCCAGGCAGTGAAAGACAAATACCATATGGCCTCACCTATAAGTGGAACCTAATCAATAAAAGAGACAAGCAAGCAAAATATAACCAGAGACACTGAAATTAAGAATAAACTGAGAGTAACCAGGGGTCAGTGGGGAGGGAATGATGGGGGCGGGGAGGGAAGGATCATCAAGGAACATGTATAAAGGACCCATGGACAAAGCCAGAGGTGGGGAGGATCGAGCCAAAGGGTGGGAGGTGGGGATGTGTGGGGCGGGAGGGAGTGATGGGGAGAAAATGGAGCTAACTGTACTTGAACAACAGTAAAAAAATAAAAATAAAGTGAATTAAAAAAAGGAAAATTTTGAACATGTGAATGTATTATAGCCCCAATTTAAAAGATGTTAATTAAAATAAATATTTACATTGGCAGGAAAATCTCAGATATTTCACTCAGCCACATTTTTACTGATATGTCCCCTAGAGCAAGGGACATAAAGGAAAGAATAAACAAATGGGATCTCATCAAAATAAAAAGCTTCTGCATGGCTAAAGAAAACAGTATTAAAATAAAAAGAGAACCAACTGTATGGGAAGACATATTTGAAAATGATACCTCAGACAAGGGTTTAATCTCCAAAATATACAAAGAACTTACACGACTCCACTCTAAGAAGACAAGCAACCCAATTAAAAAGTGAGCAAAGGCCTTGAACAGACACTTCTCCAAGGAGGACATAACAGAAGATCCAGAGACACATGAAAAGATGCTCAATATCACTAGCTATCAGAGAGATGCAAATTAAAACCACAATGAGATACCACTTTATACTGGTCAGAATGGCCATCATAAACAAAGCAACAAACACCAAGTGTTGGAGAGGTTGTGGGGAAAAGAGGACCCTAGTGCACTGTTGGTGGGATTGCAGACTGGTACAACCACTATGAAAAACAGTATGGAATTTTTTAAGAAAACTAAAAATGAATCTGCCTTTTGACCCAGCAATTCCACTGCTAGGAGTGTATCCTAAGAACCTTGAAGCACCAATCCAAAAGAACCCATGCACCCCAATGTTCATAGCAGCACAATTTACAATAGCCAAGAGTTGGAAGCAACCTAGGTGCCCATCAGTAAATGAATGGATCCAAAAACTTTGGTTCATTTACACAATGGAATTTTATGCAGCAGAAAGAAAGAAGGAGTTCCTACCCTTTGCAACAGCATGGATGGAACTGAAAAGCATTATGCTGAGTGAAATAAGCCAGGTGTTGAAAGACAAATACCATATGATCTCACCTTTAACAGGAACCTAAACAGCAAAACAAACAATCAAGCAAAACATATAACCAAAGACACTGAAATACAGAACAGGTTGACAGTGACCAGAGGGGTCAGGGGAGGGAATTTCAGGGGAAAAGGGGAAGGATTTACAGGAACAAGTATAAAGGACACATAGACAACAACTAAGGGGGGTGGAAATGGGAGGGAGGTGGGGAGCACTGGGGGGGGGGTGGTCTGGGATGGGAGTAAAAGACAGAAAACTGTACTTGAACAATAATTGAATAAAAATATTTACCGAGTGAAAAAAATAAAGGAAGATGTGGAGTTATATCCTGCTGCAGAGAAAAATCAGTTACCATCACATGATGATTTGTGTAAACGATGGATACCAACACAATCCCTGGAATGACATAATGATTTCTCTGTGATGGAAAATGCCATGAAATCAAGTAATTAAATGTATTTACTTAATGATTCATCTATTCCCAGAGAACTATTTGAGCAAGTCCTTCACTATATTTTCCTAAATTTAGAAACAGTGTTTGTGGGATGACACAAAGTAAACCACCTACGTGGAGGTGCAGCTGTGGCTGTAACCTTTGAATGTCAGGCGCTGCAGGCTCAACATCTGGGGCCTGGACTAAAGATAAACTAGGTAAGAGGTTGCAGGGTGAATGACAGGATAGTTTTAATACTTTTATAGAAAAGAGAAGGTAATATTTAGCCAGGTTCTGTTAGATATCTTTACTTGTTGTTACTTTAATTTAGCAACACCATTAGTAGGCTTTGACTAACATTCCTAGTTTCAGGTGAGAAGACCTAGGTTCAGGGGGACGAACTTATTGAAGGTTCCCACTGGTGGATATGATGAAGCCAGAGTATGTATCCAGGGCTTTCTGACTCTGAAAGTGTTATCATGTTACTGTGCACACTGCTACTGGTGTTCAGACAAAATTAAAAGGAAATAAAGCAGATTCCTGCAGACCAAAAAGATTGAATGGGATAAATGCACTGCAGTAAGTGTAAACCAATTAGAAATATAAGTTAAACAACAGTGAGGATATGCCAGTGATTGTATTTTGGAGTTTGGTTATTATATGTGTCAGGAAATATATAAGTAGCACAATTTTTGCTATGATTAGCTAAACAGATGAAAACAAAATATTTATATGAGATTTGGAATTTCTTTTGTTAAATTTTATTTTTCAGTTAGGGTTTATATCCAATATTATATTGTATTAGTTTCAGGTGTACAACATAGTGGTTAGACAATCATATACTTTACAAAGTGGTACCCCCAATATTTCCAGTACCCACCTGGCAGTGTACATAGTTCTTATAATACTATTGACTATATTCCCTATGCTGTCCCTTATATCCCTGCGACTATTTTGTGACTGCCAGTTTGTCATTTTTATGAATTTGGAATTTCCCAATAGGTCCATGGAAATGAGAAAAACAGTGGTAACTAAGTATAATCAGAAGCTTCTAGGCTTCAGAGATCAGAGAATAGGGAAAAGAGAGAAAAGGATTTTACCTTTCAAGATGTGGAAAATTAGAATGGATACAAATATAGATATTGAAGGAGCAATTCCAGAAGACGAGGTGAATTATTGTCATTAATTTCACTTCCAAAAAATTCTTCCTCCTATTTATCTAAGCTAAATGACTTTTGATGCAGCTTAAAGTCACCAGAAGCATTTTATTCTAGATACGAACAAGTACTATTTCTGATCTGAGAGTAGCTACTTGCCTTGGCCTTTAGACAGGGAGGAGGGACTCCTCTTACCCTTATTTAGCAAAGGTTAAATGAGGATCTCCCATTTACCTCTCTGAATGGAAAACTTTTATAAGCGTCTGTGATGGCGTAACCATTTACCCAACTAAAATAAATATATCCTTGGGGGATTCCCGAGCGGTCTGTTGTGCTTCATCTGTCTGCCCCCTGGGTGAGTTTGCTAGCACCAGGACATGTGGAAGCTCAGATAAGTGGAAAAGAGCCAAACAAAGAGCAATCAGCATAGTGACACAGTAACTCTGTGTTTACATGTTTTAATTGAAAATAAAATTGAATCATTACTTTGAATATGGTTACAGAACTTATTTTTGAATTTATTTCTGAATTTTATTCTGCTGTGTGTTTCTTATAAATAATCTATTAAGCAGATTTTTGTGTACAACCATGTGGAATGACAGATGCTATGAAAATATCTCCATATAGTTAGTGGCCTAATTTCAGGTATACAGTATACATGCATTAAGTGTTGTTAAAGTGAGCAAATGGATTTCTACAAATCAGAAGCAAGCAATAAAATATAATTACAAAGTCAAGGGGCTCCATAGGGGTTTCCTTTTAATAGAAGAAGATACATTTCACAACATTGTTACCAAACAGCACTTGGGGTTCTGTTGCCTGTTGCTCATACATTCCAGAGGTAGAGATCTGGTGAAAAAAGAAAGGAGTCGTTTATTTGAAGGCTATACAATTTTGGAAGAATAATGGGCTTCTGCCTCAATGCCCATTTCCTCTAAAACCCCCCAAGGACAAATAACACTACATCCTCTGCCAGACCAGACCAGATCTAGGCTATGCCCAGAGGTCCTTCACCCATGCAAAAATACTGTCCTTTGGGGAAGACAGATGGGTGCAGCCTGATTATCCAGGCAGTGTGTGCTGGAGTCCTACTTGCAGCGTGCTGCTCTTTCCCCTGGCTGCCGCCCACCAGCCTAGTGCCTACACCAAGTCCTTCCAGCTGTTGGCTCACCACAGTGTGCGCGTGCCTGGCTGGGCAGGGTTGCTCAGTGCAGGTCCAGTCACCTGGGCCACTGTTGCTTCTCGTGTGAAGACAGGCATGGAACAGATTTCTATCTGTAAGAAATCTCCTAATCTCTTGGCTGCTGGTAATAACCCCCACCCGATTCAGGTCTGAAACAATGCCGAAGGGAGGTGCAGCCCTGTGCTGGAAAGGGTGGTTCCCTGGGGGTATCAGGTCTGAAAGAGAATGCATAAAATCCTGTGAAATCTGTTTTGCTAAAAATGCCCTCAATTTAAATGATAAAGGTCCAAGCATAAAATGAGTTTGCTTCCCAAAGTTTTATGGCCTTTTGGAGTCACTCTATGTATCTGACCCTGACTCAGAATAAGCCCTTATAGTTCTTTGAATGTAGTGATCAATTCCTTGATCATTATATTGCCTGACAGTGGTTGTTGAGCTCTACATATCTGCCCTGTATTGCTTTGCAAACTAAACCCAATAAATGCCTACTGAGAAAGAGGTTTAAGGCCTTTCTCCTCTGAGAAACTGATCAACCTCTCTTCCTTAGGCAGATCATGTCTTAGTAGACTTATTCTCATCCACAGCAGCCCCGGAGAGCTCTGTGGGTCCCTCTCCTCTCCTCAGCAATCTGGCCAGATCCCCTCCATTGCAACATGAAGGTCAAGTAGAAGTAACTTTTAGGAAAGAAAAATAAGTTGGTTCTCAAGGTTTACATTAACACTTGTATAGTGATTAATGTTATAAAGTAATTTGAGGTGAGTTATCTTATTTACTCTTGGTTGTTCAGGCTAAAACAAACATGTTTTATTACCTCTCACTCATTTATAAACCAAGTGTTTTACACAAAATCAGTAATTAACACTGTTTACTTACTTAATTTATCCCTTACACTTGAAGATCTGTTTCACAGTAGAGAAAAGAGAATCATATAAACAAACAAAACAGAAGTCATTTTATTCAACTTCATTTGGTTGATGGGCTAGGTCAACTAGTTAATAAAGTTGGTTACATATATAAGTCATAAAAATTATAATCTACACTGAACATTTTCTTTGAATCTAAAGCTTACATATGTGATTTATTTATCATCATTTGATGTAGAGTTAGGGCCTTCTAATGTAGGTCTGCAGATTGGAATGCCGTATTATCTTCTGTTCATAAACCATATCTAATATACTACATACAATTTCTATTATAATGACATAATGACTGAGAAGAAGCAAGTAGGGTACAATTCATTTACTGGGGGCATCGAGGACTTGTGAATCGGACAGTGAGCTATGAGAATTCAGTGGCTGCTAGCATCAGTCAGCAGGTTTTAGAGGAGGAATAAATATTGGTTATTAGTTTAGCAAACTTATTCAGTGAAACTGGCATAGAAATCTTTTTTAAACTACTTCATTGCAGTATGATTGACACATAAAAACTGTGTATATAGTGTGTACAACTTGATGAATTTGAGGATAAGTGTACAACCATGAAACCATCAAGGCCATAATCACATTCATTGTTTCCCAGTTTCCTCTTATCCCCACTATTATTATTCAATTTTTTGTGGTAAGAACACTACATAATATTTATTTTCTTAGCAAGTTTAAGAGTATACTACAGTATTAATTCTTTAAAGGCAATCACACTGAAACTTTCATTCTTTGACACTGACCTGTAAATATTTACACAATGATTTGTTCATAGTTTATCCTTGTTGTTGAAGTATCAGTGCACACATTTGACAGGGTTCCAGGTATGTTTATAGGACTAGAAGTAAACACTCTGCCATTAAGTTCTCATACAAGGAAGTATATGGGGGAAAGGTTAGATACAAATAAAGGAAAAATAACTAAATCAGGAACAATTTACTGGTTTAATTGATATCCAGGCAAACACAGCACTCTGTCAGTGTGAGGCTTCTCTATAAAGGAAAACATAATATTTGGCTGTGCATCTTGAATTTTTCTATGAATGTAGCATTGCTGGGCTTATAAAGTAATGTGCCTTTTACTTAACTACCCAAGAAAAACACCCAACCTTTTGGATAAAATCCCGAATGAGGCCAGGATATTAAACTTGATACCACAGGAAAACTGCAAGTATGAGAGCAAGAACACATGCCTGTGAGAACTGATTCATCGACGGTGAGTTCAGCCATTAGCAAAACGGGACCCACTTAATAGATATGAAACTGACCCATTTCTTGGGGGAAAGTTAATGAGTTATTGAATAGGGGTGGATTCAAGAGTGGATGTCATCCTCCCTGTGGGTCGTTGCAGTAAGGAAAAAATAGGGTTTTGCAGAGTGGGATATGTATTCCTTTTATCTTCATTGTCACCATAATTATTCCAGTGAACATTTGTTTGCTTCCCTGTATCCCCATCATACTGATAATCCAGAGACAATGACATGAACTTCTTTATTCCCCAGTGACAGAGCAATGTCTAAACATTCACTTATATGATAATTTGGTTTATGTGCTTGGCATTTAAGGTCCCTGTGGACCACTTGCCACTTGAGCTAGTAGCTGAAACCCTTCTGAGATTACACAGCGTTGTCCTATATTTACACATGAAAAGTTTTTCTCTTTTTATGACTCTAGGGAAATTTAAATTTTATTGATAGCCTCACAGCTCATATACCACTTTATTATAAAGTTCATGACTTCAGAACTGTAGCTTGTTCTCACTCTGGTAATGAAGACAGCAAAGGCTCCATATGAAGATGGTGAGGAAGCAGAGAAAGGTGTTAATTGTGTTGATGTTGTGCTTTGTTATCTACTCACAAATATTCATATGGGCTTACAGAAAAGTCAGGTACTGCCAAGGTCCTCCCTATACTCAGGGATCCATATAACATGCAGGTGTCTAAAAACTACTAGTTTAAAGTAGAGTATTGTAATATTTTTTCTCCACTTGAATGAAAACTCTAGGAACTGTGGATTAAAAAGAAACTGTAAGAACTGTAGAAAGTTTCATAAAGGGAATGGTAACATGTAAACTTATTACAGGAAATTTACTCTCAGGTAGTTAACTTTACCTAGTATTTTAAAGATGTTAATTTTTCAATTTTCACTATTACTATTATAATAAAAATTTTTCAAATTTTAATATTTTCAATTTAATATTATATTAAAAATTTTCAAGTTTTCACTATTAATATTATAATAAATAATACCACTATTATTTAATTTTTGTCTCCCTAAAATTGCTTTTAATAATGTAAATGTATTTTAAATATTATTTAAAATTTTTAATTGAACAAGACTTTATGACATTTCTGTGTGTATTGATTCAACTGTCTCTTCTATTCTTTACAATGTCTATTAAAAACCTGTACTTTATCTTCAAACCTGTGTCCATCACTACTTCATACTCCTTGAACAGTAGTAAATTTCCCCTAATAATTCACAGGAAAAATAGGAACTAGTTAAAAATGAAGAAATTCTAAAGTATGCTATAACCTTAATGACTCTTTAAGACATTATGATAAGTGAAATAAGCCATCACAAAAGATCAAATACTTTATGACTACATTTATATGAGTTACTTAGAGTAGTCAGAATCACAGAGAAAGAAAGTGGAGTGGTTGTTGCCAGGGGCTGGGAAGGGGGAAAATAAAAAGATACTGTTTTATAGGCACAGAGTTTCACTTTTATAAAATGAAAAGATGTACATAAGATGGATGGTGGTGATGGTTGCCCAACATGGCAAAGGTATTTAATATCACTGAACTGCACACCTCAGAATGGTTGCTGGAAAATTCTATGTTTGGTGTATTTGACCACAATAAATATTTTTTAAAAAAATAGCACTGGATGATATTTCCCTTACATAATCATCCACCAACTTA